TATAATCATAATTTGTTTTCTGAAATTGATATAAAGCATGATTTTTTTTGCTTCCATATTACAATTGTCATAAAAATTTTTCTTTATGTTGACTTTTCATGAAAAGTGAATATTGTTTTCATTTTGTCAAATTCTGAAAAATACTAAAGCATATTTTCAACTGAAATGCGTTCACCCTTTTTTTTTAGGTTCCTAATCTGTAATCATATTCAAGTGCATATCAGATTGGTTTGCTCTCAGAAATAACCCAGAAGATGTAAAATACTGAATTGTGAAAACTGTGAGTCATAGAAATCAGATCTCACATACAGGTATTGAAAATGAACACTAGGCAAGCATGACAAGATGGTTGGCAGTCAAAAGCTGAAAATAATAGTATTCTCACCTTTCTATGTTGTTTCTGTATCCTGACAATCTCTTTCTGAGTTGCTGCTACTTCATCTTTAGAAGTTTCCAGCTGCAGTCTCATACTCTCCAACTACAATAGATCAGGAAGAAGATTCATTTCACATGGTGTTTAAACAGTGCCCTCAAGTGGCTCACAATTTATACTTTAAATTTGTAACATGATGCCATTTGAAGAGAATTAAAACATGTGGCATGATATTATTACTTGATCAATGTGAATGACAACTCTTGACAGAAAAATACTTCCTCAGCTCACATAGTCTATATTTCTGCTATTGACATCATGCAAATAGCAGGAAAAAAAAAATTGTGTTTATTCAACTGGCGTAGCACATGAAGAACCAACAGATGAAAAGTTGTTATCCATGTTACAATCTACCAATCAAAAATATCATCATTTCCAGCAACATATCCATACACAGCAAAAAAAAGTAGTTCTTTAACCTTTTAACCACCAGTTCCCTCTTTTCATCACAAAACAGTCACGTTTATAGTCTACACTTTTCTTTGGAAGTTTGGGACAAAAATAGCCAAAAAATAAAAAAAAACTGATAATTCACCCAAATTTTGTCTGTTGGCTCCAAAATTAGGATTCATTTTCAGAAATATTGAAGAATACAAGACAAAAAGTGCAGAATTATTTGGGTGAGAAAGTCTGGTTGTAAAAAGTTTAATCATAAAAACATCACCTTTTGATAAAAACCATTTTCTTTATTTTCAAATTCTTTTTTCTTCTCATCAATTTTTTTCTCTGCCTCTGCGGTTTCTTCCTCCATAGTCCTACACTTTGACCTCTGTCTATCAAGAGCTGTATTGGTACTTTCTAATTCTAGTGATAAACTTCTATTTTTACTTTTCAAGTCTTCAATTTCTCTTTTTCAGCTGTCATTGATA